GGGATCATTTAGCTGCACCCATCCAAATAATCCTCTGCTGCCCCAGCTGCTTCACAAGCTGCTAAGAGAAGCTGTGTTTTCTGGATGACAAGTGACAAAATGGGAGGAAGGTGGGCAAAGTGTTGGGCAGTGTGAACATTTCACACCCAGGTGGAAGGTGTTCACATAAAAAATTGTGCAAAGGAGTAAGGGTAAGGCTTTGGTTCTAATCATCCTAGAGTATCTCTGGTTAAAAATAGAGGATAAAAGAGAAAGGCTGCTGATCTTCAAATCCAAGGAACGAGGGTACAAAATTAGAGGCATAAAAATTGGCTCTGTCAAAGGTGGGACAAGACTGAAATACAAGAGCCTGGAGAAGAAGCAAAGGAGCCTCCTGTGTAACTCCGACTTCTGAGCATCTGCCAAAAGCAAAATATTTTGAATTATTCACTGTTAATGTGATTTCTGGCAGTTCTTTTTGTTGGGAGCAGGCTGCTGGCTTCTAGAGCTTTCGTTGGGTTGTATGTCCTCATGCTGGCCACTTTCTCACATTTTTTGTGAGATACCCAAAATATGGACCTTTGGGTCCATATTTTGACCATATGGGAGTGGAAAGGTATAGGGATTTGGGGGGAACCCAGGATATGGTCACCAAAATCCAGCTGCCATCCTTTACTCATGTTAAGTCTTTAATGAAAGCTAAGACAGCGGTTTTAATTTTATTATAGGCTCTGTCCACATGGAAAATACTTGTGTGGTCCTCCACCGATCCAGAATAGCTTCTTATGGTTGACAGAAAAATGTGTAGTTCAGATGCCAACTCTCTGCAAAATCAGCTCAGTTGTAAATTAAATATTGTCATTCAGTAGTGCTCAATGCTTGGCAGAAATGCATTGTTTTCCAGTGATTTCTTTGTGCCTCAAATAAAGCATCACCTGCATTATTTAGTATTTGCTTTACAGAGGTGTCAGAGGAAGCTGTGCATTTATTTTTATCTCCATTAACCGATCACTATTGCATGCATTGCATTTCTTTCGGCTTCGCTATCTGGCTGATACGTCAAAGCAAACAATTTATTTCCTACGTCAAAAGCGCCCTGCATAGGCTACCAGCGAGGACAAGCAAAAGGGTGAAATTCCTTCTCTTTATAGCTGTGTCAGACCCTTTATTTCCACGGGAGGTGAATTTGGCTCATGGTCTGGCGAGTTTATTGTTAGGTGCGTAATGTTCCAGATTGCTTAATTACACAGCAGGAGAATGGGATAGCTTCTCCAGTGCAATAAATTGTAATTAAACAGCAGGTTTGTTCCTACAGCAGACGGAAGGAGAAGCAGCCACGTTCGCTTGCAGCTGTGTCAAAGATCAAATACCTTCGCTTTTCAATTCCAACCGTACGCGGGCTGCTGTCCTCCTCAATCTTTCTCTAATGCATTTTGAAAAGAACCATACACACATATGCGTGCGTATTTTGTTTCTGCAGGGCTTCGTGCCCGTGCCCTCCTGGGAACGGCATTTGGCCGTGGCCTGTGGCTCAGACGCTGGGCACTGCCCTAAGCACAGCCTCACATCACCAACGTTACGTTTAAGCTCACAAATAAGAAGCAGGTGCTGAAATCAAAATGGCATTTAATTAGCAGAGCCGGTAGCAAAAGCTTTGAAATGACTGCAGAAATTTGTATTCAAACAGCAAGCTTGAATTTTGCTTTGAAAAACGAGACCTCTGCATTACATCATGTCATACTTCAGGAGGAACCAGGCTTTGGATGGGAAAATGCACCCCACGGTGTTGTGTATCCTCTCTGCAATCTTTGCTTTAAATACTCTTATGATGAATAAAACTAGTCTAAATGCAAATTTTAAACGAGCATCTAAATCCTTGTTTCTTAAGACAAACCAACAAATGCTTTTGGGGGTTTATTGTTGAATGCTTCTGAAGATGAGCAGTTTTCATGTAGAAATCTGTATTGAATTAATCAAAAGAAATGCTGGTTGCCTTTTTTTTTGACTGATATCCAATCCCAACATCACCTTAGGTCATGGGAAATTTGAACTATCATCTTTTGCTTAGTGCCAGTAGCTTTTGGGGGTTGCCATTGGACCGAAACCGCCCTGAATTTGAGCATTTCCTCCCAGGGGTTTCAAGAAGCTTCTGTTTTTCTGCTCAGCTTGACTTGTAATCGTGCACCAATGTGAGTGAACCATGCAGTTCTTGTTTTTAAGTCTTTATAGGAAAATAAATGGTCTATGGGAATTTTGTCCAAAGATGGCTCATCAGCACAGCTTGCTCTGGGGAGCAACAGGTGACACCTTGAGCAGTAAGACAGATCTTAAAATGCTTTTGAGTAATGTAATTACTTCTGCTTTACTGCTCAGATTTGCCCATCTTTTCTATGAAAATGACTCCAGGAGCTAAAAGTGAGGGAAACCCCTTCCATTTGCAGGCATTTGTAGTGGAGCTTTTGGCAGAAAAATCCCCATTTCATCTCTGCAGAAGCTCAGGTCTGTTAAAAAAGTTAATTCTCCAAAATCATTTAGGAGTGTGTGAGGCACCGCTAAAGGTTGCCTTTGTTCATTCTAGAGTTAAATATCTGTTTTTATGCTTCATCTTAGATTGATGCTTACTACGAACAAAAAAATCTTAACATTCGTAATGAATTATAATAAATAGTAAATGACTTTTAAAAGGAAGTTAGCATATACTAGGAAGGGAATATGAGTCTATTTGAAGCTAAAAATAAATCAATAGCCACAAAATGTAATTCCTAGGGTTATTTATTAACCACTAGGTATTTTACTACATGTTTCTCTGATCACTTCTATTCTGCAAATATTGGTGAGTGTGCTCTTTGTGGAGCTTTTTAGGTACAAGTCGTGTGTTATCAGTGTCCAGTGTTAATACTCAGTGTGATGGATCTTTGTGTTCCTTTACCATTACCATCTTTTGGATTGTGTAAGCTTTTCTGTCTTGGCTACAATGTGGGGTTAGAATTTCTCCTTACAGCCTGATCCTGGACTCCTCCAGATGTCTTGGATGTTATGTCATTTTGGTGAATTTTGTCCTCAAGCATTAGCTCCATGGAATGGTTAATAGTTGTCCCCAGCGTAAAGCAGTCTGTGTTTCTCTCATTTTAATGTCATCTTTACAAATCCTCTGGAGTGTAGGACTGATGTATGGGATGTGTTTTGTTTATGCAGTTAGTTTTCTCACGGCTGATTCTTTTTTTTCTGGATTGCTATGCATTTAACTTGAAATGTTTAATGTGCTAAAGATAGTGCAACTGGATACGTTCCAGCAGTTTCTGCAGTGGTTTGAAGACTGAAATTTGGGTGTAAAAATACATATGTATACGGTATTGTGTATATGTGTATATATATACATATATATATGTGTACATGTTTATATTAATATAGATATATTCATACACAGACCTGGGGGGCAGCAGGATCCGGGTGGCCTCAAAACACGCATGGATGCATTTGACCTGCCCAAAGTTTTCCTAAATCTGTTTTCTTAGGTTCTGGCTGTGAGTCATTTTGAAATGATAACAGTTTAATAAATTCAAGGTATTTTTTTCTATTATTTTATTCAGCAAAGCCACGGGATCTATGGCATCAGACAATGTAAGACTCCAGTCCTCCAAAAATGCCTCCTCCACTCACATTCATATTACATTACCAACTTTCTTTATTCCGCTATGGAAAAGTATGAGGTTTTCTGTTCGAGTTTCCTTTTTCTGTGGTTAGTAGGGTTATTGTGTATAAACTTATTTTACGAGTCCCCCAGGTTTGCTTTTTCTCCTTGGCGCATCGTTTTGGCCAAGCAGCATGGCTTGGCTGGAATCGCTATGCTGGCTTCAAAGGGCACCAAGAGCATGGGGTCATAGATTTACAAACAGGTATGGGGGCTGCCAGGATTGTATTTTAGAGCATATAAACTATATAGAAGTTGTTGCTTTTCTGTGATGAGTACCTCCAGATTCCTTCGGCTGAAGACAGAGCCACGCAGCCCCATAGCAAACGGGAGCAATATATTTTTGCAGGTTTTCCTGGCCACCTTTGGTCTCTACCATACAAATACAGGGGCTCCGTTGGACCCAGAGGGCTCTGAGCTCCCCACTTGCTGAGTACAGACCCCTTGCATGCCGCTCAGTGATGTGCTAGGGGCTGCAGTGGCAGTGAGAACTGGCAGGATCCCTTAACGACCTTCTTCCCAGTTTGGGGAGAGGTGAGGCTTTGTACAGGAATTCTCATTTTTCTGTCTTGCACTGTTTTGCTACAGCCTAGATGGTGCTCATAGGTGTGATAACCCATGCGGGTGCTCTGCTTGCTCGTTGTCCCATCACCCGTGCACGCCCAAAGGCGATGGCAGGACTGTTTTCATGGCGTTCTCCTGGCTCTTCTTCCTCAGATGTCCTTTGAAAACCACAAATTGGCCCTGAGCTGCTTTCTTCCCATTCAACCTCTGCTTTTAAACCCCCCTCGCACATCTCCCCTCTGTGTGGTATTGGTGAGCAGATAAAACAGACTTGTTCTTCTGAGGTGAAATGTTCAAAAAGGAAAGGTTCAGTAGGATGTGAATTAAATAATGGCCATGGGTCATAGTAATTTTCCTTTTGATAATAGCTGTGTTACTCATGGATGAGTGTTCTTGGGGATTAGTTTCTTGGTGAAAATGAGCAAAATTGCTCCATGGTTTTCGTGTGTGGTGTTACAGACCTAAATTATTTCCTTTTTCAATACAAGAAATGGAGAAAAATTCACCTGAAAGTGTAATATATGAAGCAAAGATCACAATGAGCTTAGTATACTGCAAAGTATTATCTGACAGACACTCCACTAATGTGTTGAAAGCTTATATATGCAAGGTTTTTTACAGCTTTTGTGAGTTTATATGTGAGTTTAATTTGCTTTCAAGTCGTATGAGTCTTGTATTTGTTTTCACGGTATAATTGAATAAATTTTAAAACAAGTCTGAAGGAAATTTCCCATTTAAAATGGTCTTCTTGTTTGTCTCCTTGCAGATGGGAAGGTTGAAGTGACAAAAGAAGGCGTGAAGCTGTGCACCATGGGACCTGGCAAGGTATTTGGGGAGTTAGCCATTCTCTACAATTGCACCCGGACAGCAACTGTCAAAAGTAAGATCATTTTTGAACTTTGATGTTGAATGTCTTGGTATTTCTTTGGCTTCTCATCTTCCCTTTGGAGTTCCAGCCTCTTTTCAGTGTTCAGCTTTCTTAATTAATTAAGCTCTCTGTGGCATGGATTACAGCGTTGCATTTAGCCACTGTGAGCGCGAAGAAGATAGAAAAGAAATGCTTCACTGGGTTCTTTCACTGAGGTTTGTTCCTGTAGGGCACCTCCTGTGTTAATGCAGTGGTTGATGCTTCCGTATGCAGAGGAGTCTACAGCTAATACCCCACTGTCCATATGGCAGTGATGCCTACAGTGAGGATCAGGACAAGGTATGGGATAGGAGCTGTCCTACCACATGGTCACAGATCTTGGAAACTTGTATGAGTTTCTAGGAGGGCAGAAGCATGACTGAGTTTTTTCGGTCCTGCTGCTGTACTCCTGTCCTCCTACACGTACAATCTTATTTCAAACCCTGTGGATGGACAGAAACAGGCTATGGGTAAAAGGTTTCCCTGCACTATGATGGTGTATGGTGCAGAGCAGGATGCAGCCCAAACTCAGGATATGACTGTTGCTTTTAAGAGCACTTCTTACCCCTGTAAGTGTAGGTATTCAATGGAAACTGGAAGTAAAGTTTATGTATTTTTTCAGGGCAAGTCATTGTTTTCCCCCTAAACTGATTAAGCAGACAGAATTGGGGAAAAAAAAAAAAAAAAAAAAAAAGCCCGGGTGGCACTGATCCCTTGCTCTAAGTCTTTGGCTCTTCTCCTGTAATCTGGTTTCTTTTATGAGTGTTCTGGGCAAAGCTTAGGTTGCACAATAAGTAGAGGAAAATCGCATTACTATGTATGCCATAAATATGTTTTCATTTATTGTAGTTGAGAATTGTTGATCTTGGGGATAAGAGCTCAAGATGAAATCTTAAGCAGTGGGGTTTTATGAGAGATGGAATACTATTCTGTAGGGGAAGAGTTAGGATACAGGTGGGATAGATCATGAGAGTAATACAGAGACAAAAAAAAAAAAAAAAGAAGGTATGAAAACAATGAGGCATGTGAGTTCCTGTTCAGAATAGAGTCTTTCAAAAATGTGTAATTTTTACTTCAATAGGAGAGAGAAGAAAGAGGAGCAATGGACAGAAGAGTCAAAACAAGAAAAGATAACGGGATGTTATCCTAATCCTTCAGAATCTGTCTGATGTACTCTTGGTTTTGCCTGTGTAAGCCTTGCCTTTTTACAAGTACTGTTTCTTGCAGGTAGATGCTTGCCTAACCTGTAGTGAGTTCATTGGCAGCACAGTTTATGCCTTGCAGTAATCCATAATCACAAATGATGGAGCAAATGTGCTTAATGCACAGGTTGTGCCGAGCCCCAGACCCCGGAGACCTTGGGAATGATTCAGGCCGTGTGCTGGGCTGCTCCCTGATGCGATGCTTGGTCTCCTGCCATGTACTGTGGGTGTGCATGGGAAGCAGGTGTTGATTCACCCTATTTCCCCATGCCTCCTGCCCCGTCAGTGAGTTCTCCATGGAGTTGTATAATCTGTATTGCTGTCCGAGTTAAGGTTTGGAGTGTTGGTGATTGCGATGAATTCAGCTAAGCTGCAGGTTTTTGTGGTTATGCAGGAAGTTGGAAAGAGCAGAGAGAAACAGGGGAGATGATCGATCCCTAGGAAGGGACAGGAGTGGATCCTCGTTTATTTCCCCGTCCAAGAACAGAACTGAAAGTGACTGGATCCTCTGGTACCACAAGCACTACACCATTGTGCAGTCACACCATTTTGTGTGCATGCCCCTTCTCAACGTGTTCGTACAAGGCAGTCTAATAGGATATAATACCGGAGGCTGTTTTTACTGCCAGCTTTACTGTTACTGGCTCTGTAATGTTCTGCATGTCCCTCTCTTGAGCAGACTTCCAGATTGCCTTTTGGTGCTTACTTTTCCTAAATCCCTCTTTTTTTCATTGTTCAACTGGGGGCAGTAGTAAGGCTGCTACTATAACCACCCTCAGAGAGATCTTCCATCGAGAAGGAGGTGCCTGCATTTGTTGTGTTACTCTGCTCCTTTCCATTAGCATCATAAAATTATGTTAATTATGCACCTTCTTCCGCCAGCAGCTGGCGGCCTTTTGTAATCTCCTTTCTGATGCCAGCAAGTGGTTTTTAGGTGGTTTCTCGTTATTGCACAAGTAGGTAGCAGTCGTGGTTGTAATCAGCTTTGTCCTTTCAAGTACAGTGGCACGCAAGGTCACAGCTCGGCTTTTGGGAACCGTTTCAGCTAGACCTAACTGAACAGAGCCAGGTCTTTGAGGCGTGTGGATCAGTTTAGGGTGCATTATTGACTGAAATTGTTGCTGATGCTGCTAATAAACGGCTTCAAACATCTGTTTGTTCTTTTGGCTAAAAGATAAATAAATGTCATAAGCCTCAAGAAAGGCGAATGCTAGCAAATATTCCATTAAGTCTGATGATAACTTTGATCATTACAAGGTTTATTTCAGGAGAAATGAACAATTGATGATTGTAATGAAAACAGACACCCAGTCAACAGTGATGCTGGTGATGGGGAAGATGTGTCAAGGGGCATCATACAACTTTCATTTACAGAAACACTTTAAGTCAGGGCTTCCCAATTTTCAGCAGATAGATTTCCATTACCTCTGGTGTCAGAAGAGCTTTTTGATGTGCCTGCGAGTACTTCATTACAAGGGCATTAAGTATTTCTTCTTAAAAAATGAAGTTGCTGCAAAGACTTGAATGAGGGATGCGTTATGGGGGAGTGATGCTCAGCAGTGCCTTTGGGCTGTAATGATGTGTCAGCCGTGCTGACATCTCGTGCTGCAACTCGTTTGTGTGTGTGCTTGTGCTTGGGCTTGGTAAATAATAAAGTTTTTAGTGTCACTACTCACTGCAGTAGTCTGCACGGGCTCCTCAGCTGCTGCTCGCTCCGTAGGAGCTTGCAGCCTTAAAGGGATAAATCCCTACAGGAAGTCCTTTGCCTTCTGAAAACACTTCAGAAGACGTTAAGTTATAATTATTCGGATCTGACTCCTTCTGGTTCATTATGACCTCTTTAATGAGACAACCCGGGTCTTTTGAAAGGCTGCCCTAAGATAATTCTGACAGTATTTTCTCAGTTGTTACTACAGTCTTAGGTAAAAGCAGGTTGGGGTCTAAGGCCTGTGGACAAGGTGCTTCAGAGCACATTTCCTCAGTTGTTCTGAAGCTTTTGCTTTTCATTTCTAGATATTAGAGAAAGATTATTATTATTATTTTTTTTTTCTGGAGACTGTTCAGGCTGATGCTCCAAGTGTGTCCTTGTCATGGCTTTCCAGAGTGCTGCTGTTTGCAAATCCGCTTCCCTCACGTACACAGCGAAATCCAAATCAGCAGTTACATTTCTCCTGGATCTGTGTTCAATTCCATTGTCTACATGCAAAACTCGAGGCTACTTGCAGTTTAAAGCAGAATCAGACTTTTCCTCCCTAATGCCAACAAATAATTTTATGCAGTCCATTAGAATAAGAGAAAGAAAATCCCACTCATTATTAAGGATGGCATGCTAAAATGATGTGTCTAGTCTCCTGGGAGAGTAGCATCCTCCAAGTGTGCCTGTTTACCTATATATCTCAAATTGCTGTCATCAACTCTTTGAGGAAGCAAAATAGCAGAGGTGTCACGAAGTTTTCAGTGGTGTGACAGGACAGGACAGGATGGGGGGAGCCTCTGGTGACCATACACCTTGTCTGTCCTGCAGCCACCCTGCTCAATTGCAATTCCCTTTAATTAGGAGTCTTTCCTATTTGCTAAGAGACCTAAGAAAAGAAGGATTTTATCTTGCTTGCTGCCAAGCAAACAGCATCTCCAAGCATGTTATCACATGAGCCTGGAAGAAGCAAAAAGCTTTATTAGAATTTAAATTCGATTTTGTTCATTAGTAACATGGATGGTAGAAGGGGCTTCCTGATAAGTCAGAAAGAAACAAAAAGGCAGAAAATCCAACCCAACAGGTGTGGCTGTATACAAAACTTGTTAATTCTTCATTGGATTACACAAAAGATCTGCGTAGTAAGTGGAAATTCTTCCGAGATAATAATCCTCTGCAGTTGTTTTCGCTCTGAATTATCTGATGAATAGAACTTCGCGCCATTTTGGCAGGCAGGTTGGGGGAACCCTGATTTTGTGAAAGGAGTGGATTCCTGCACCTAAGGGCATGATATATATTTGGGAGGTGGCTTTAGCATCTTAATTCCCGTTCTTCCCCTGAGAAAATACCATAACGAACCCCTCACAAAGCCAGCTGGCTGCGGGACAGCCGGCTTCAGAGGAGTTGTATGCAGCTTGGCACTAGCCTATATTTTTAGGGAAACAACTTGGGCAAAAAAAGAAAGCACAAGCTAAAGTTGATAAACTGTAAATTAAGTAAATCTTTTTTTTGTGTGTCTGGTAACACCAGCAGCGTGTCCTCAAACAAGAGTTGCTCCAGCCTTTTCTGCTTATCAGCAGTGCTAATTGTGCAAAGCTCACTGCCGTGCAGCGTGATTGCTGAAGGAGTTTGTAAATTTTGTTGCCAAGCTCGGATGAGTTTGAGTTCTCCACCACTGTGTTTTTAATGGAGTCCTGTGGAAATGCTGGCTCGCTTGCTAGCTGCAGCCCCAGAAAATACTCTGACTTAAAAGGAGCTTGATACTGGTGATAATTTGCAAGGAAAATTCAGGCAACAGTGCGCCAGTTGCCAATTAAAACTGCGGAGACTCGTTAAAAACCTTCGAGAAGGATGTTCAGATATTCTCCTCCAACAATCAGAGAAGCATGTGTAAAGTTTGTTCTGATCTTCTCAAAACAAGGATGTCGGCAAGCAAAGGTTGATTTTAGATGTTTAGCTGCTTGGTTAAAAGCTCTCTGGTCTCTCTCAGGTTGTGCAAACCGGAGATGATGGGGCCACGGAGCAGCCTGCTTTTAGAAGAGCTCATGAGCTTGCAGAACTGGGTTGCATGTACTTTG